TGTGACTGCACGCCCTGTTCTGCTGGTGGAAGTTGATGGGGCCTTTGCATGCTGGTGGGTGTTTGCAGAAGGATGGGGTGCACCCCTGGTCTGCCCCGCTGGTCCCTGGTTGGTGGCCCCAAGGTGGATGGGGATGGGGGGGGGGGGGGGTGTGGAGTGAGAGCAGGAAAACTTTCTTCCCAGCCCAAGCAGGGACTTGGGCTCTGATCTTGGATCTGGATCTGGGATCTTGGATCAGGGGGATCCAGAAGTCTGTGCACAAAGAGGGAAGCACACAAACGCTGAGCGGGGAGCAGTGAGAAGGGGCCACCCATGGGGCTGCACTTCCCCATTCTGTCCAGACTTGGTGCAAACCTGCACCTCCAAACCTGCTGCTATGAACGGTACTGAAATAACGCTGACTTTCTCAAAACCCACCGGTTTCTGCTTCCAGCATCATCAGACTTCAGCCCAGATTTGCCTCCCTACCCCCCGGGGAACGATATTGCCCTGCTGCAACCACAAGTCTCACTGCGGTGCAACACTTTGGGCTGGAGCATTCTAAGCGGGTTGCAGCCGGGAAGTGAATTTGGGGAGATGTTTGCAGAGCAGTTTGTTACCTCCAAGCTTTTCCTGGCAGCGGTGGGGGCTTGCAGGGCTCCGTTTCCATCTCCTGGCACTGCTGGGGGCTCTGTGAACACTCCCAAACCCCATCCTGTGCTCCCCCCGCGCTGGCCATGGCCTCCACTTGCAGGAAGAGATGCTTTCAAAACACATTCACCAATGTCACTGTGAGCTTAAAGGAAGCTTGAGGCTCAGCGTTGCTCCCCACGTCACCCCGGGGTGCTCCAGGGGCACCGATTGCACTCAGCAGTGCACGCTGACTGCTGCAGGTTGTTGCAATGGCTTTGCTTCACCCCTGCTGCTGCTCGGATATACTTCATGCTCCTCCTCCTGGGTGCTGGCTGGATGGCAGGGGGGGATGCTGCTGGAAATCCTTCTGAAAGCACCCTGAATTCCCTGCTCTCAGCAACACAACATCAGATGTATCAAGGAGATGGAGTTTTTTGTTTTCTTCTGCATTTTTTTTTTGGTCTGGGTTTTCTCGCAGCCATTGCACATCAGGAAATCCCTTCCCTCTCCCTTTGTCCTCAGAGCTGTATTAACACTCTAAAACATCAGATTTGGGCTGTTTTGTGGCCCAGCTGTAGGCAAATCTCTGGAATTTCACCTGGGAGCATCGAGGCTGCAGGGTGAGCAGATGTGGGTTTGCAGAGAGGAAAGGTAACAGGTTTTGTGTTAGAAAAAGGGAAGGGAAAGGGGAAGGGGAAGGGGAAGGAGAGGAGAAAGGGAAAGAGGAAAGAAAGGGAAGGGAAGGGAAGGGAAGGGAAGGGAAGGGAAGGGAAGGGAAGGGAAGGGAAGGGAAGGGAAGGGAAGGGAAGGGAAGGGAAGGGAAGGGAAGGGAAGGGAAGGGAAAGGGAAGGGAAAGGGGAAGGGGAAGGAGAGGAGAAAGGGAAAGAGGAAAGAAAGGGAAGGGAAAGGAAGGGAAGGGAAGGGAAGGGAAGGGAAGGGAAAGAGGAAAAGGAAAAGGAAAAGGAAAAGGAAAAGGAAAAGGAAAAGGAAAAGGAAAAGGAAAAGGAAAAGGAAAAGGAAAAGGAAAAGGAAAAGGAAAAGGAAAAGGAAAAGGAAAAGGAGGGAAAGGGAAAAGGAGAGGAGGGGAGGGGAGGAAAACGGCAAGGAAAAGGCAAGGCAAGGAGGAGGAGCCCCACAACAGGCAAAAATTTGGAGGTTGGAGCTTTGACATCCTCCAAATTAACTTCCATTGGGAAGCAGGGAGATGCTCACCAGGATTATGGAACCAAAAGTGAAATTGCTCACCCACACATTGCAGTGGGGGATCTATAGGGCTGAGGTGGGGAACCTCCACTTAGCTGAAGTCTTTCTAATTTATAAGGAAATTGGTTTCTCATCCCGGCGGGGGATAAGATCTCTAAATGCACCTGCTGGAAAATTGCTTTTTATTTTTTTATTTTTCCCTAATTGCCTTTATTTTTGGCCTTTTCTTGGTCATTGTTCTTAGTGCACTCTCTACAGCTCTGGTTTCTTTGGTCTGCACTCAGATCCAGTTGCTCGGCAGCACCGGTCCCGTTACACCTAGAGCTAGTGCAGGGCCCACTCATGTCCTCATTGGCATTTGTGGGGGCAACAAACCCAACCCTGAAGCTGCCATGCCCTCTGGGGATATGCCTTTTTCTTGTTAACATTTTCCATGCAGAAAATGACTGAAAAATCCCAATTTTGTTCTCCTGCCCTGGCCAGCTGCAGAGCCAAAGGACAGTTTCCAAACAGGGCCACCACTGTGCTGGATGCACCCCAGGAGCATCCTCAAATCCCTGCTGGGTACGGTGGTTTTGGGGCGCAGGGGGAGGAGGCTGGGAGCCACTTGGAGCCCTTTCCTCCAGCAGATGGAGGCATTGCTTTGCTTCACCACCCACAGTGCCCTCCCCAGTCCCATACTGGGAGAGCCAGGACTGTGGGGTGGCACAAGCCTGGGATCAGGGTGACGCTGTGTTTCAGGATGCTCAGCAGCACCACTGCTGGGGACACAAAGGCAGGTCGTCCCCAACCAGCTGAGCAAGGGACACTGGGGACATCCAAGCGCCTCATGGGGAAAGCGATGGCAGCTTGGAGAGGGCCTGTGTGATGCCAGGTTGTCCCCTGGGGTAAGTGGGACAGGCAAGGGGACTTTCTCAAGGACAACCCTCAGAAGTTGAAATTCCCCCCAGCCCTTCTGGTGCTGCTGCCTTCAGCCCCTTTGCCCCACCGCAGTGCCCATCTGTGCCTCAGTTTCCCCCCACAAGCTGCGCACAGATCCCCACGGCTTGGATTCCAGCTTTGTTAGAGGGGTCTGGCAGAAACAAAATCCTAAAAAATTACACTGCCACGACATGCAGCTATTTCCAGTGTCTGGGACTGCAAGCTGAGCCTGAGATGGTGCAGCAAAAGGAAGGGATCTGTGGGGGCATTGAGGATGGAGAAAACGTGTGTGTGTGTGTGTGCACCTTGCTGTGCATGAATCCCTGTAACCCCCCCCAACCCCAGCTCCATGCAAGCAGGAGGGTGGCTGCAAGGCTTTGCACCTGTCAGCTTCGGGACATACTTACAAACACTCCCTTAATAATTAATAACAGATTAATAGCAGTGGCAGCTTGTTAACACATGCGCATTAATCATTTATTAGTTATTAATATGCACTTCGGTCCCCTCTGAAAGTTGTTTTAACATCGTTTATTACGGGGTTCACAGGGCTGGCAGTGGTGCTCAGTGGCAAAGCCCAAATCCTCCACTCCTGACCCCACCGGGGCCCTCACCCCCTGCATGGTAATCCCACCCCAATGCCCTGGGCTCTGTGTTTGCCCCTAATTGAGCTCTGGGTGTTGCCTAAGCCCTTTTGCTGGAGGCCATGGCATGAATCTTGTGCACGGTGCACGAGTGGCTGTCCTGTACTGGAGGCACATGGGGAAGAAAAGGAAAAAAAACCCAACAAAAGCAAACCCAAACAAAACCACTAAAAACCCCAAACAAATCACAAAAATCCTGATTTTTTTTTTCCTGCCCTCTCCTTCCCCCCCCCCAAAAAAAAAAAAAAAAAAATTATATATATATATATTTCACATGCTCATCACATATAAAACTGTGCAGGTCTGCACTGCCCAAACCTTCTTTTGCACATGGCAGGTTCCTGGCTGCAAGGATTTGTGCTCAAACCCTTCCCACCCCCCAGGTAAAAATCAACCCCAAGTGGGGTGACATGGGGGAGATGGGGGCACCTGGCACGCAATGGGACCCATGGAAGGATGGCAGTGTGAGATGGATGTCCCCATCACAATTCCAAAACATGGGCAGGGAAAAGTGTGGGAGCAGCCTGGGGGGGTTGTGCCCAAAACACAGCCCCAAATGCCTGGGGATGCCATTAATTCCAGCAGGAGTCTTGGTGATCTTGGGTGTGTTCCCAAGGAGAAGGTACACCCAGTGGGATGTGCCCACAAGAATGGGGATGGTTCCTTTTCTCAGCCCAAAATCACATCCCGAGGCCAAACAGAGGTGAAAGAACCAACAGGACAAGGATCACAACGCTGGGGACTGTCCCCATAGCAGCGAGTGCCCACCACTGAGAGATGTGGGATCTGAGGATGAGGAAGAAGGGTGAGAGGAAGAAGTGGGACCATGGGGGCTCCTCATGTTGAAAACAGGAGCTGCTGGAGGATGGCTGCAATGGCAAATGGGGAAACGAGCAGTAGAGGAACCTGCATGGGTGCTGCGCATGTACCCATGCTTTGCACGTGTGCACACACAGCCAGGACCTTCCTGCCCTTCCAGCTGCAGCAGCACCATCAGGGACCTTTTCTCTGGGGTTGCTTCTCCCACTGGTTCCTCAGCTCCAACTCCTTTTTTTCTTCTCTCCTATCTTTTTTTTTGTTTGTTTTGGCCTTCCCCATGCAGGATGAGGCAGCTCCTTCTGTCCTGCAGCCTTCAAGTTTGCAAGCTGAAGGAAATGCCCTGCATTCACCCCAAGCTGCTTTTTGCACCCATAGCAGAACCACCCCACTGCTCCACAGCCGCCAACAGGTCAACCCCAACCCTGGCTACAGCCTTTCTGTGGGGCTGCTCCTCCAATTCTTAATGCCTGTTGCCTCATTTTTTCCATTGCTTCCTTCTCACACCCCAGCACCAACCTGCACAGGTGCGGATCATTATTGCTTGTGCAGGAGCACCCCCAGCCCACAGGGTTGAGCTGCCCTGTGCTGGAGTCACCCAGGTGAAGGTCCCAAGGTGTGGCTGTGCTTTGGGGTCTGTCTGTGCCCAGGGAGGGTTTGGGGACACCCCAGTGCTGCTCCCCAGTCCTGTGTCGCACCGGAAGACTTTTCTTTTGGAAATTCATTTTAAAAAAAGTGTCAGAGGAAAAAAAAAAAAAGAACAACCATAAATAACACCGAGATGGTTTTCTTAAGTCTCTTCAAAACAGAACAAAAAAAAAAAAAAAAAAAAGAAAAAAAAAAAGGGAACAGGGGGAAGAAAAGTTGTTGTTTTCTGGTTGTTTGTTTTTTTGTTTGTTTTTTTTCCCAGGCCAAAATGCTGCTGATCTTACTGAGAAATGCATAGTTGGTAGCAAAAACATCAGCTACATCAGGAGCTGGGATGGCCCCTGGGCCACTTGTGGGGTCACTGCGGGGCTGGGGCCAGCTGGGTCATCCAATCACAGAATCATTAAGGTCGGAAACGACCTCCAAGATCATCCAGTCCAACAGCCCTCGGTCCCTGACCGTGCTGCTGGCCCTGTCGATGCCCCAGGACATCACTGATGCCCCTGTGCCCCCTGGCCCCATTGTGCCACAGCCGTGCCCGGGGCTGGGCGCAGCCAACGGTTCTCCTTTGGAGAGGCTCAGATCATCTTCATGTTGAACTTCCTGGCTCCTCCTTGGCCCGTGGTGGTGGTGGGTCCATCCACCTTCCGGAAGGAATATTCCACCGAGAAATTGTTCTTGTGCTGCCCTCGGCCCCGGCTCCAAACGAAGAGGAGCAGGAAGCAGAAGAGGACCACGCCGAGGAAGGTGATGCAGCCCATGGCTGTGGACACCAGGATGGTCTTGAGATCAAGCGTGAACTTCAAGAAGACCTGCGTGTCGTTATGGTAGGTGTCATTGAACTCATTGAGGTACAAAGTCCGGTTGGCGTTGGAGGAGCCATCGTTCGGGTGTCCCTTGACCGTCAGAGTGGCAAAATAGGTGTCGTTGCCCCCTGCGTTGCTGGCAATGCAGATGTAGGTACCGCTGTCCTGCACTTGGGCAAAGCGGATCTCCAGGGTGCCTCCCGGCAGTACGACTGCTCGCCCCGTGCTGCGCGTGGTGATCATGCGGTGCTGAGGGGACACCCAGACGATGGAGGGCTCTGGCTCCCCGTCCGCCCGGCACAGGAAGGACACGGACTGCCCTTCGCGGGCCGTCACGTGCTGCAGCTTCCGATCCCTGATCTTGGGCTTCTGGCAGGTGAAATACTCGAAGAGCACGGAGTCGGGGAAGTCACGCAGAGCGTTCCCCTGGATTTCAGGCGGTGTGGAGCACATGGGCTGCTGGCCGTCAAAGTTGAGCGTCTTCCGTCGCTGTAGGATCCAGAGGAGGCGGCAGTCGCAGGCCAAGGGATTCCTGTCCACCCGCAGCGTCTCCAGCGTGTTCACAGAGTGGAAGGTGCTCTCCTCCAGCGTGGAGAGAAAGTTGCTGGAGAGGTTAAGCAGACGGATTTGTCTCAGACCAGAGAAGGCCTGCGGCTCCACGGACACCAAGAGAGCGCCCACTATATGCAGCTCCTGGAGCCGGATGAGGTCTTTAAAGGAGCCCTTCAGCACAGTGCTAATGGGGTTGTAGGACAGGTTCAGGTAGCGGAGGTACACCAGGTTCCTCAAGGCAGCGGTGGGCACGGCTGTGATGTTGGTGTAGGTGATGGAGAGTGAGGTGAGGTTCAGGCCCTGGAAGCTGGTGGGGGAGATGTCTTCCAGCAGCGGCCAGTTGTCGATCTCCAGCTGCAGGAGGTTGTAGAGCTTCTTGAAGTTCTGCTCCTCCAGCGCAGAGATGCTGAGGTGCCGGAGCCGCAGCACCTCGAGGTTCTGGAGGTAGGAGAGTGACTCAGCCGAGATGGAGGTCAGATTGCACTTCTCAATGGTCAGTTGCTCCAGGCCGAGCAGCCCTGAGAAGGCGCGCTGGGAGATGTACACCAGGTCGTTATCACCCACCTCCAGGCTCTTCAGGTTCCTCAGGTCCTGGAACATGTAGTCCAGAAGGATGACGAGTTTGTTCTCGCTGATGTCCAAGATGGTGAGGTTGGTCAGCTTGGTGAAGACCCCCGGGGGGATGAGCTTGAGCTGGTTTCCTCGAAGCCGCAGAGTCTGCAGGTTGAACAGGTTGCTGAAGGCTCCTGGCTCCACATTGGTGATGATGTTCTCGCTGAAGTCCAGCTCCTCCAGCAAGGGGTATGGGGAGAGGTCCCCCGGGTTCAGGCAGCGGATGCGGTTCTTGTTGAGCTCCAGGATCTTGGTCTCTGTGGGGATGCCCTCGGGGATGGCAGTGAGCCGCTTGCGGTGACACACCACTGATTTGAGCTGCGGGGCACACTCGCAGCGGGCAGGGCAGGCTGCCACCTGCAGTGGGCTCAGGAGGACCAGGTGGAGGACCAGGACCAGGAACCAACATGTCATGGTGTAGAGCATGGTCTTACCGACTCTCTACCATTCTCCCATACACCTGAAAAGGAAAGAGAGGGGTGTCAGCAGCGAGTTCTATTGAGATCACCAGGCTGTGAGCTACTCCTCCTTTGGAGCAGTACCCCAAACCATGGTCCATGGCCCTGAGAAGGTCCTCACCCTGCAGGAAACACCACCGACCTCTTCTTGTGGCCTGGGGACCATACTCACTGCAAACACAGGCACAGAGCAAAGGTGGGACACCACGTCCTCCTTGCTCCCTGTGGTGGCTGTGGTTGAGTCTTGCCTGATGAAACAAATCCTACTCATCCATGGCCTATCCTTCCTGCATAGGATGGAGGACACTCAGAGCTTCATGCAGGAGCCAGTCCTCCCTTCCCCGCCCTCAACAGTGGGGCTGGGGGAAGCTGCGGGCTCAGTCTTGGCATATTATGGATTACTGCTGCCACGTCTCAATCACTGCTGCCCTCCTTTTGGAGGAATTAGCACCTTGCTGCCCATTTGCCTTTTTGCTTCTTTCCCCTTCCCCAATCTCTTTTTCCTCCTTCGCTCCAAATCTGCTAGAGATTCACATCCCGGCGCTGCTGCAAAGCTCATCAACCACCTTTCCTGAACCAAGCGTTGTCATTAACCTAATTAAACAACGGGGCTGCTCGGACAGAGCGTTGTGGGCTGCTTCTGGAATGCTACAGGATCCAGCCTTGGGGTGCACGGGGACGTTCCCAACCCTCTTTGTGCCCACAGCATGGAGAAGGATGCTATCTCTGTGGATAATTTCCAGCCCTGATCCTATTATACAAGCCAAGCAATTCTCCAGCAGTAAACCCATTGCTCGCTGCAATTTAGGAGCCACAGGAGATTATCTTTTAAAGACTTCTTTTTACATGTCTTAATTTCACCACGCTTTCCTGTCTCTCTGAGCCAGGAGGGAAAGCATCACCATCATCCACAGGGCATTAGCATGGGGCTATGCAGTGCAAAGTAGGGCTCTAGGGAGGGTGGGATCACAGGTCCCACTGCTTTCCCCACTTTCTGGCCATGCATTCCTATTGCTTTTGGGATCCACGAGGAGCTGGCCGTGTGCTCATGCTTCGACTTCATCCTTGTGGTCTCTGTTTCTCCTCTCCCTGACCTGGGAAGGATGCACCCAGACTCAACCTGCAGGAGAAGTCACTATGGGTTATTAATAGCTCATTACTGTCGTAGCATTACCATCTCCGGGGCTTGCCTGGCCTCTGGGGAGTGAGGCCAATTAAGACTCAACTCAAAGGCCTAGATAGAGGCTGCTCATTACGTTTAATTTGTTTTTTAAAATAACATGCCTGCTGCTCGCTGGGCTGAGGAGCAGAGCCACGAGAACCCAGGCTGCAGCACAGCCATGGAGCAGCGATGGAGCAGCGATGGAGCAACTGAACAATGGGGCAGAGCTGCGCAGAAGTGGCTCCTCAGCTCCCAGGTCTCTCCTTTTCTGAATAAAGACCAGAAAACAAGCCAGGCTTGACATTTCTAGGCTCCTCTGCTTTGACAACATGCAAGTACAACTACTTCAGCTGAAGCAATGTCTTGTTTTATTCTTGCATCCGCTTGCAGAATGGTCCCACTGGGGCTGCCCTCAGAGACTGCTGCTCGAAGCCATTTTCACCCTTGGATTGTGCTTTAGCAGCACCCACGGGACTCCCAGCCCCATGCCCAGCAGCACCCACAGCTGCCAACTCACATCTCCCTCCGTGCAGCTCCCAGCCGCTCAGCCCCACATCTGCAGCATTGCATGGGGCTGTTGGGAACAAAATTTGGGATTTAACACTTGGTCTTGTTGAAGCTCATCCCATCGGCCTCAGCCAAGCCATCCTCCATAGGGATTGATCCTTCTCTCAGGCAGATCGATGCTCCTTCCCCAATTGGTGTCATCTGAGGGTGCACTCAGTCCCCTACTCCAGGTGGCCAAGATACTAAGCATGGCCAGCCCCGATGGCTTCACAGAATCATAGAATTACTTGGACTGGAGGGGACCCCAATGATCAAACTTCAACCCCCACTGCTGCATGCAGGGCTGCCAACCTCCATATCTAATACCAGATCAGGCTGCCCAGGACCCCTTCCAACCTGGCTTTGAACACCTCCAGGGACGGGGCATCCTCAACCTCTCTGGGTTTCAGGAAGATGCCTGCTGGTCACAGGCTCCTGGTCCACCAGGCTGCTCCATCTGATCCAGGGTGTAGAATCAGAGCAGCTGATGCCAGGAGCACAGGAGGTGCGATGAGAGCAGAGACACAGAGACCTGGGGGTGATGTGAGGCCAGCAGCCTCCCCGCACTGCCCCGACAAGGCTCTGGCCATCAGGCAATTAGCAACGCGAGCACGAGAGCAATCCAGCTGAAACAGGGCGAGCTGAGTGCAGAAAGGAAGAAAATCAATCAGCAGAGCCAATGGAGAATTACCAAACAGAGTTATTCCTAATCCCATCAGGGTCTGCTGGGAATCCAGTGCTCCTGTCTCTGTGCATCCCAACAGATTTTCTGGGTCACTTCATTTCCAGGCTCTGCTCACCACCACGTGGAAACCCCCATCCCTCGCAACGGCTGCGAGGCCCCGGAATGAAGGATTCCCAACACCAAGGAGACAGCCCCAAAGAAGGCACTGCTTATTTTTAGAGACAACCTTATGATTGTTGAGCACGTGGCCCAGGCAACACCGCGCAGGCAGCCACAGATTGGCCGCAATCTGCTCTTCTTCTTGATAGACATCACGTCTGAATCTCTATCTCTGCAAGATGCTCTCTGGAGAGAAGACATTTCGACACGACCACAAAGTACAACATTTCCAAAAGGTCACTGCGGTGGGTGCAGGTGGTTGGTTTTCCATGAGTGTCATCACTGCCTTCCAAGGCTTCGGGTGGGGGGTGGCAGTGGGGGCTCAGGCAGCAGCCCTGGGTTACCATTGGGGTTCGCCCAGTGAGTTTCTGCTGTGCAAGGAGAAGTTTTAATTTGCAGAAACCTGCATTCCTGCAACTTTGTGTGGTTATTTCCCCAAAACTTCACCGCCTGCTCATTGCAGCCTGCACAGCACACTGAGATGGATTCGCATGGAGGGGGGCTCGATGGATCTCCAAGCATGGGATCCCCAGGCTGTGCTTGCAGATGGCAACAGGAACCACCTCCTGTTGCCACCCACCTCCTGCAGGCACATCACCCAACGCAGCACCCAAGCACCCAGACCACCGTGCCACCTCATCACAGCCACCTGGGGAGGGGACCCTGTGCCTTCGCTCCGAGCCAGGCAGCTTTGTGATAAATGAAATGCGGGAGCAGGATGATTAATAACCATTTCAGAACAGCATACGCTGTAATTATCCACCTTTCAGAGAGCTGATTAATGATGCTGCTCAGGGGCATGAAGAGCCCCCACTCTCACCCTGGCTGGGTGCAGGCTCTGGGTGCTGAGGATTTTACTGCTGCTGCCCCAGGAATGCTCCAGTTTGGTCCAGCGCTTCCATCCAGCTGGATGGGGCTGTGCATTAAGCTCAGGCTCCCAGCTGGGATCGCTGGGTTGGTGAAACCTCCAAATTCCTCACCTGGTGGCACCCCATGCGAGATGCTGTGCAAAATGCAGACAACAAGGATGCTCCAGGGGCACAGGAGCCCCCCCAGATCAGCATCCGAGGGATGGATCCTGGCATAGGGTCCTCGGGGTGCTGCAGGCCTTCAGCAGGGCTCTATGGGGCCAGCCACCCCGCATGGGCACCGCATCACTGCCAAAGCTCTGATTTGAGCAGACAGATGGATTTGTGGGCAGGAGGAGCAGAATGACAGGGCAGTCGGACAGACAGATGTCTGCTCTGAAGACAAGGTGGAGAGGCAGCCATGGGTGGAAAACAGCCTGAGCCCGTCAGGACCGCTCTGCTTTCCATGGGAAAACAAGTTGGCGGCTCAGAGGGGCAGCAGCTGCTGATCCACAGCCCCCGACCTCCCATAAAAACCCACTCAAGGCAGAGATCCCTGTAGGGCAGTGCGGTCCATCTGCCTTTCAGCTCTGCTCAGCATCAGTCCGGGGCTGGATGCCTTTTTTAAGACATGTCTACAGCTGCTGTGCTTGAAATGCTATCGCCGTCCCAGTGATGATGATGGGAGCAGCGAGTGAAGAAAGTAAAATGCCATGAAAGGGAGAAATAACACTCCACTTCGCAATGCACACCCTCATCTTGCCAGGCAGGGTGTATATTGCAACCTAGACCCAACCAGCTTTGTTTTAATGAGAGGAGGCAGATGGGGGCAGAGGACATTGTCTCAGCCCTATGGAGAGCAGATCTCAAACCCACACCGCAGCCGGTTGGGTGGACGGATGGATGCAGTGAACCTGGGTAGGAAGCAGTACAGATTTGCATTTCTGGAGGATGCAGCCCTGCACCCGGGAGCAGAGCAGCCCAGGGGCTCCTGCTGTGCTGCCCCAATGACTTCTCCGTGCCGGGAGCTGCAGAGAATGGGGACATTTGGAGCACGAGATGCTGGCATTGGTCCCCAGATTGGCAGCTTCAGGGCATCAGCTGTGGCTGAAGCAGGCAAGCATCACCGTTCCCATCTGCAGCCCCAGAGAGGCTCCCCAAACCCCAAGCTCTCCATGTGGGGCAACGGGCAGAGATTTCTCAGCCATTCCATGGAACAAACCTGGACACAGCAGCACTGAGCTGTCAGTGCTGCAGCACCAATGCCACGAGGAGCACCCGGAGCCGAACCCCCGCAGATGGAGACCCCCTGTGCTCACCGTTCTGCAGGTCCAGGGCTGCGCTGACAGCTGGCATCTGCGAGGCTGGGCAGCTTTACATGGCGAAGTGTGGAGCACAGCCAGAGCCCTTTCCTCTGGGTAAAACAGCACAGGAAGAAGAGCGTGAATCCCCTCCTGCAGCACCCAGCACCCCAAACAGATACCCAAAGCGCAGTCACATCCCGGAGAGGGGAAGCAGACTTAGCTTTGCTCCACCCCAGTGTGTGAGCTGGCTGTTGCACCTCCCCTCGTTTATACATATGTATGTAATCACATAGGAAGATCTGACAAACAGGTAGGTGTCCAAATTTGTGACCCTTGCCTGGGTCTCTGCCTCTTGGGGTGAAGCATCCCCAACCCTGGCACAGGGCACCCACCTCAGAGAAGATCAAGTTTAATTTGCCAGTAACTAATCAAGATTTAAGGATTTAAGAACTCCCTTTAAGGGAAATAGAGCTCTTTTCAGCTAACAGATCGCCAGAGCTGAGGCCAGGACAGTGACTGTGCCCTGCAGTCTCCTATGAGCCACCCTAACCCCAAAGCCCTAACCCTAAAACTAACCCCAACCCTAACAACAAAGCCCCAAGCCTAAGCACAAACCCCTAATGCAAAAACCCTGACCCTAACTGTAACCCTAAAGCTCTAATGCCTATCCTTAACTCTAATCCTAACAGTTCATTGATGGGTAAAACCCCACTGTTGGGGTCCCCAAAGACCAGAAAACCAAACATCACTCCAGGAGAACCCACTGCCGCCCCACTGATGGCAGTGACATGCTCAGCAGCTCCTCTCCTCCTCCCCTGTGTTTCCCTTTTGCAGCCAGCAGCACCGTGCACATGCACAAGAGAACACTTGGGCTTTGCACACCTGCAGAATGGTGAGGAGGAAAGGAGCAGCACTACAGAATCTCCCATTAGTAATAGCAGCAATACCAGCAAGGACCCCCCCCCCCCCGACCAAGCAGAGCTGTGCTGCTGAAGCGGGGGGGGGGGGGAAAAGGGGAGCACATAGGGGTGCAGATCTTGGGTGCACTGGTATCCAACCCACAGCTAGCAAATGCACGGGGCAGCACATGCAGCAATCTGCTTCTGTTCCATGCTGCTGGCGGCTGCAGAGCAGATGGGGCTCCTGCAATGCCCAAGGAATGCAATAATTGTGAGGGAGGCTGCAAAATGTGATGCACTGCCGTGCTGAGGTCAAGCACAGTGACAGGGCAGCTCGACTCATTGCAAATCCCAATGCAAACAGCAGGTTGGGCATGCTCCCTCTACTTATTCCAATCCTGTTGGAACCAAATTGCAGCAAACCCAGAGGCAAGCAAACCCTCCCCAGCCTCTGCTCTCCTTGCAAAGTGCATAGTATGGCATGGTCCTGCCTGGATGCAGTCCCAACATTCACTTCAGAGGAAAGCAACGGCCTCAACTCTCTGCCTTCATTACAGAGCCTGCTGCTCCCACACATCTGAATGATGAGGGTCTCAACCGATGCTCTTGGCATTTATTTTTGGTTACTCTTACGTCACTTAGCAACCTCCAGTTCAGGTTACTTCAGGTTTGTGTGTGTGTGTCTGCATGTTAATCCCCGTGGAATGGGTCCCTTCCCATGCACCCACTGCCCCTCATTCCTGTCACCCCGATGCTCACTGCTCCCATGCAGAGCCTGCAAACCTGCAGCAAAACCAGCTTACAGCACACCCAGAATGCAGCAGGAACCCCAAAATCCAGCCCCAGTCCCTCTGCCCCCATGGCGCTGCAGCCAGGAGCACAAAGCAGCAAGCTGGAGCCTTTCCCTCATTAGTGTAATTAATGTCAGGTCTCCCAGCTGGCCAGGCTGTGGGCTGACCTTTCCCTTCTGGAGAAATGCATGACAGCACCGACCCAATGCGGGGGTGATGGGAGATGTGGGTTTGTTTGGAGGCATCAGCTCATTTGTCTTAGTGATGTGCCTTCAAAAAGAGGAGCATTCTGCAAAAAGGAAAGGGGATCATTTGGAAAATCATCCTTGGGAGGGGAGGAAAGCTCTGCTCTGCTCACCCAAAGCAGCAGCAGGGGCACAGCATCGCTCCTGGGGGGCACAGTCAGTGATGATAGGAAGATGAGGTGCTGGAATGATCCGAGTTGGAAGGGACCCGTAAGGACCATCGAATCCAACCCTACAACCCACTGAGAACTTGAAGACAAACTCCTTTTGCATTTGCGACTGCAGCAGCAAACAATGTGGGGACTGAGTTTCCAGCTGCTGCAAGATGTTGGTGTGAGGGGTGGGAGGAAGCAGCATGCAGCAAAGCCCCAGCACTGCATGGGGACATTCTGCAACCCTCAGCACCTCCTGCTGAAGGCAGAGCCCCACACAGCAATGTCCCCACCACAGCTGTGCACAGAGGAGCTGGGATTACCAAATGCAGCAGTGTTTCTGTCTTTTTTTTTTCCTTTTTCCTTCCATTTGTCATGCTTGGTTAACACCCCTGCTTTGGTAAAAAGGTCACCGTTTAGATCTCATTTATGTTACTTCTGTGGATTGCAAATGCAGGGCGCTGCTTGTTTTTCCTCCTTAATTAGCGTTCGATTACCAGGGTCACGCTCCAGGATTTGGGCTTGGGAAGTGGGAAACAATGAGCTGCAGTCATTAGGGCAACGCTCTGCGCTGGAGCAAAGGGGTTCAGAGGTAGTTGGGAAGCTGGGGAGAAGCACAGAGTCGTTCCAAATGTTCTTCCGCTTAAATATTCACCCTCCTCCTTTATTTCTCCCCCTCTGCCTGTAGCAACGGTATCTGGCAGAAGGATGAATTTTTAATAGGAGGGGGTGGCAGGCAGAGGGAGACCCTAGGGCAGCAATCCATTAAAACAACATCTGAGGGAAAACCAAACCTGCGAGGGAACCACGTGGGGGAGCAGAGACTGGAGCACTGCAGCCACGCAGTGGGCTCACATTGCCCACAGCCCCACTGCTACAGCCCAAGGTTCCCAGCATCCTGCCAGGGAAGCAGTGGGATTTCCTCCTTTTGGAGATGTTTCCATGCTGTGCACGGCTGGCTGCAAGCGACAGCATTTGCTCAGCCCCTAGGATGAGGACGCAGAGGGGTTGGAGGATGCTGCAGGGCTATGAGGATGCCCGTCTCACCGCCCCATGTCACACGGCTGAACCTAAAGATAGCCCCCAGTTTGCTTTTCATATCAACACAACCAGCGCTCCGGGTAAAAGTCCTTTCCCATGAACTCACTGTTGCTTAATAAAGCACGAAACCCTCCGAGACTGTGACACTGGGATCTGTCATTTTAATTCTCAGCAACACTTGTCCCTCTCCCCGGCTGTATGCGGCCGCTGCTATTTTGGCTGATGTGTCGGGAGCTGAAAGAGGAGCTCCAGCACTACACATCTGAGCTGCTCAGGCTTAAGAAAAAGAGCAGAGATGTGACTTAAAACAAAAAGAGCAAAACTATAGAATGGAAAGCGCCCCTTCTGCACCCCAAGCCCATGGGAGAGCTGTTTGGGACCCAGTGTGTGTGCGTTTGGGATGCTGAGGGCAGAGCATGGTGGGATGGGGCTGATGGGCACAGCACAGCCAAACTCACAGCGGCATGAAAAACTCCAGGGGAAGGCAGCACAGTGTGGAAAGGAGCAGCGATGGAAACCCACCACTATGGGGAGAGCTCCTGCACCCAGAGCAACACGGCATAAAGCACAGGGACCCAAAGCAGGAGGAACCAGCACACGCCATACGATCACCCAAATCCCACTGCTGACAGCCAAGAGGTGCTCCTGCATCTCCTCATTGTGTCCCTGGACTGCACTTCCAGCCACATCCCTGATCCCAAATGCCCCCACTCACTGCATCCCACATCCAAACCCCCCCATGCACTCCATCCCTCTGACGGCTCTGCAAAGCGCTGCTGCTCTCGGCAGCCCCAGGATCAGCTCTTGCTGAAGGTAAATGGCACACAAACACTTGGACAACATCCTCCCATAAAAATCACCCCTCCAACATCCCTACCGCAGCCGGCCAGCTGGCAGCTCCCATCATCTTGCTCCAAAAGCTCCCATGGGTTTCACTGCTTCACTCCACCTCTCCGCAAATCTCCACTCTCTGAACATTTCTGCCCTCCCCTGTTCGTCCTGGTGTTCTTCCACTGCTCTCAAAGCCACCCCTCGGGCTCAGGCAATGCCTCTGCACTGGGATCACCACACACACACAGTGTGTGTGAGCACCATGTGTCCCCCAGCTTGAGGTCATCACTTCGGAGCTGACTTGGAACCGCAGCAAGATGAGGGCTGGGAAAGTGCAGAGCACAAAGTGAGGTCCCTCCTTATGGGTGGGGAAACTGAGGCACGGGGCATGGATATATCTGTATCTATCTTCTACACCACCTGAGGGGGTGAATGCAGCAGGGAGTGAGCCCAGGGATGGCTCTGCCTGGCCCTGCACATAGCACTGTGTGATTTGGAGATGGGGAGATGCTGCTGCTGCTGCCTGAGCTGCCCACAGTACGGCTGATGGCACAGCAATTACCACTGCCCACATGAAACACTTCCAGCCATGTGCTCTGTGTTCCCAGCGTTATTTCCAGGGCTACATCAATGGCTCCAGAATGGGAAAGCAGCTGGATGAGCCCAGATCCCTCTGTGCTAACCTGCAGCCCTGTGCCCTGCACTGATGCAACACAATGCAGCCAAAACCAGAAGTCAAAAAGCCTCCATCACCTCCAACAGCATCGCTTGTAAAGCTCTAGATGAGACCGCACGACACCCAGGCACTTCTGTTCTTTCATACCATGGGGCTTCAGATTAAATGCTTAATTCAGGCTTGTAATGCTGCTGGGAGGGAAGAGTGCAGCACTGAGGTTGGGACCCTGGAGCAAAGGATGTGTGAGTGTACGAGGCACAGAGCAACACAGCTAATAGGAGCAGACGTGGCCGTGCTCCAAACACTGAATGCAGAAGGAAGGAAGCCCACAGCTCTGCTAGATGCTCAGGGCAGAGATGAGTCCTGTGGGATGGAATGAGATGGGGATGAGTGAAGTGGGACGGGATGGGATAGGAGGGGATGGGATGGGATAAGACGGGATGGGATTAGCTGACAACAGTGGGACCCCAGTGCCATCCCTGCTCACTCTGCTGCACAAAGCCATCTTCCACCCTGGGGCCATCCATGCCAAACATGCCCCATGGCATGAAACAGAACTCAGTGCTTTCTTCTCCTCCTCCAGCTCCTTTCCCAGGAAAAAAAAAATAAAAATAAAAGCTAAATTTGCTGATGTTTAAGCAAAAAAAAAAAAAAAAAAAAGAAACAAAAAAGCCAACACAGAAAGCTCTCACTCCAAGCTGCTTTGCCTCCTGTTTGCCTGAGTCGCTGGGAATACGGCTGCTCCCTGTGCTCTGGCTGCTTCCTCGCTGCATGGCAGCGCTGTGCTGGAGAGCATCGCCCTCGAGCTCAGTGCTGAGTGCATCCAGGATTATTTCTGCGACCTCCAAAAGCCACGAGGAGCCCCACAGGAGCAGCAGCCACCTCTGCCACCCCCCAGCAGCAAAAGGCAGCGCCTCCGCTCCCTCCTCCCCCACTTTAGCAAGAAACACCGATGATAAATAAATTAGCTCAAATTAAACCCATTCAATCAGCGGCTGTCACACCGCTTGGGTTTTTCTCCTGTTCCAAGCACATGTACCACATTCCTGCTCGTGGGGATGCTGGCTCCATCCCGAGGGATGCTGGAGCAGAGATTTGGGACGCGCAGCCCTGAGCCCCGCGGTGCTGGTGGAGCTGGAAGGCACTGCTCCACGCTGGGTGCAGTGGTTGTGTGGGCACAGCCAAGCGGTGCAGCACTGCGTGCATGGGTCAGCGTGGGGTTCATCGCCTGCATTTCTGCATGCAAGGCCAGCAACAGGCTCTGCCCTGGCTTTGGAGGCATGCATCACAGTGAGGAGCTGTGAGCTGATGGCCAGCTCTGCTTTTACTGCTGGCTTTTAGAAATTCCTCGTGGTTTGGTTGCAAGAGATGCTTGCAATTACTTTCCCTCTCTGGATACGGCCCTCACAGTGCAGCCCTCAGAGCAGGGGGACACAGCACCCAATGGGGTTTGCTCCTCAACCCCGTGGGCATCACATCCCCAACCATGGAGCAAAGCCACAGAGCTGAGCAGAGTGCAGGGATGGCCTAGGCTGCTCCTTGCTGGCCATCTCATGTCCCCAGCTTGACCCACGGCTCAGATTTGGGGTGCCACGAAGCCGCCTTGCTGATCTGCTCTGGGTATTTTGTGGGTGCTTTGCCTGCTCCTGTCATCCTCTCTCCTCCTGTTTGCTCTTTTCTCCTTCCCAAAAGAAAAAAAACAAAAAACAAAAAACCAACAGCAAAACCACCCATCTCCGGTTAAGGCTGGGCACGAATTTACAGAGCAGCTGCTCTTCTGCAATCGCTCCCTTGAGTGAACGCGGTGGGAATTAGAGCATCTTTTGTCGGGTTTTAGCTCAATCCACTTTGCGAGTGGATTAGGAAACTGGCACAAGAGTGCTCAGGGTCTGGAGCAGGAAGCTGCTATTCTGGAACGCGATAGGAGCTGTGTGCTGTGACTGCTGCCTGCTCCATTTCCCCGAGAAACACAACCCCGGTAACATTTGCATTTAAATCAGTCAGCCCTGGGATTTTTGACAGGAGAATCCGCCTAGCCCTAAAATCGAGGATGCGGAGAGAGGGGGGCCGGCAGGGCCTTGGGGTTGGAACCTGCAGGGCTGGGGGGCGATGGGGGCAGAGGGAGACCCTTCGTTGTGCCAGGAGGGCTGGGGAAAAAGCTGCGGGGAGGACTGCGGGTCGGGAGCCCAGCAGAGGTGCGGGGGGGGGGGGGGAGGGTGAGGCCGGAGCGAGGCACGTTCGGGCTGGAGGCTGCACCTGCAGCTCTGCGCGCATCATAGGGCACTGAGACCCCCGTGCCCGGCGCCGGGCATCACAGCGACCGAGCTGCCCCGGGGGGGGAGGGGGTTGGAGGTGGGGGGATAAGCAGCCATCCCCGCTCCCCACGTGCAGCCCCCGACCCACCCGCTCCCCGCACTCACCGCTCCGTTCCGGCTCTCGGGCGGCCCACGGTGCGGTGCGGGAGCCGAGGCGGCGTTGTTGCGGGCAGAGCCGCAGCCCCGGGGGCGGCGCGGTGGTTCCGGCGGCGGCGGCGGCGGCTCTCGGTCGGACCCCGGCCCGGCCCCGGCGCTTCCCTCCCCCTCCCCACCTAAACCGCACCCCCCCCCCCCCCCCCTCCACCCTCAGTCCGTGGGGCGGCGCTCTGTCCTTCTCTCTGCGCTCTGTCCGTCCGTGAGGAGCCGGAGCGCCTGTGCAACCGCCGCCCCCCGCGCCCCCCAGTATAACGCGGGGAGGGGATGGGAGGGTGGACGGCCCCGGGAGGGAGTGCGGGAACGCAACGCTAATTCCTCGCTCTTGGGCACTGCAAGAAGGGTCGTGCCCCCACCCCTTCGGATCCCCTCCCCATTTCTGCTCTAAGCTCTGTGCCCCGCATCACCCCATCTGGGTGCACCCACCTCGTTTTCCTTGCCAGACGCTTTGTCCATATGGATGAATGAGGACCAACGTGGCTGTTCTCCTATCCAATAAGAAAACTGGGACAAATGGGGTGCGCAGCCCCCAGCCCAGCCAGGGCCCCCACCTTCATGTCCTCGCATCGGGCTCTGCCAAAGGACAGCAGCGTGGCTCAGCTCCCCACCAGCGCCTGCATCCCGTGTGAGGACAGCGCTCACCATCCCTCCCCCCAGCTCCCTGCTCATCTCCAATCCCGCTAAAGCCTCCCACAAACGGGGATGACTTGGTTCATTAGGCTTTGAGGATGACAGAGGCCAATTCCCAATTCCTCGGGGCTCATTTCCTTCCAGCACAGAACTCTGGCTGTGCCTTATTCAGCCGCGCTCGGGCCAGGCTGCTCGTCACGCTCACAGGGCTGAAGTGCACAGCCTCAAGCCCTCTATCTGTTGCATTACAGCCAGCATCACCCGAGCTCCTCACCTACATTCCCTCTATCTGTCAATGGTTTTCGAGCGGCGTTTGGCACGCATCCTCCATTTTACCGATGGGGAAACTGAGGGACAGCCAGCAGGGCTAAGGAGAGAGGCACAGCCCGGTGTCCTGGGCCACCTTGTTGGGTGCTCTGCTCCTATTTGTGCAAAGCACTGCCAGGAGAAACGCTGACAGCTCTCCCACTTCGGGTGTTTTATCAGTGCTGCTTCTACTCTCCGTGCTGTGCTGCAGCCCAGCGCTTCTGCTGGCAGAGATTTCCAGCTGCATCCCACTCCCCATTTGCTCCAGGCTGTGGGTTTACCATTTCAGCACAGACACAGGCTCTCAGGCTTCCCCCTTTGAGTTCCATCCCTGGATCTGCAGCTAAACCTGGCAGATTTATACAGGCGTGAAGGAATCTCAGCGCTGCTTTAAACAATAGCAATTGATGTGCCCAATAAAAGATGAAAAATCAGAGCATGAGATGCAGCTGGTTCAGCTGGAGCTGCCGTTTTAAGGGGCCTGTGGGGGTGTTCAGAGCAATCCACGTTTTGTTTTGGTTCCCCAGGCTAGAAAGGTGATTCTGGCTATTTACAGCCCAGTTGTTAAAGCATTGCTTCAGAATCAGAGTCAATTAAAGTGCATTTCCCCCCCCTCCCCCGACTGGTTATTAATCAATGGAAGGGGGAATTGCTGCATCCACAGGATGTAGATTGGGGGGGAAGAGAGGGGAGTCTGGGGCATTGGGATGGCCACGTGTGGCCCCAAGTGTCACCACATCTGGGGAACCCAGCAGGCTCATGGAGGGGCTTTCTTTAGAGGCGCTGTTCTGAGCCAACACAGAGCAGCTTGACAAGATTTACTGCTTTCTGGGTCATTTTCACACCGATTCAGCAAAACGATTATGAAAAAAAAAAATAATTGAAAAAAAAAAAAAAAAAAATCTGGCACACGCTCAAAATCCCGGAGTTCTTTGGCTGAAAAGCACTAAAGGAAAAAACAAACCGCAGTAAGAATGGAGGTAAGCCCTCCCATTGAGGAGCAGAGCAGCTTTCCAGCCCTCTCCCAGCATCAGTGCCCTGCCAGCCCAGCCCAGCACACAGCACTGCCAGCTCTGGGGCAGCCATAGGAGCTCACTCTCCCCAGCGGGGATGCAGCAGCAGTGGGAGCAGTGCAATGACTTCAGCTTCTCAGTGGTGAGTAATGCATAGAAGGAGGTATGGATCCCCAGGGTGGGTCTGGGGGTGAGAACTCATGGCGTTGGACCCCGTGGAAATGAGGGAAGTGAGACCGAGGTTTCATTGAGAGCCCTTCTGGCACTGGGAGAGGGACAGTGGGAGTGATGCTCACCCCCAGTGCACGGCCCCTGCACCAGGACAGGGCAGATGGACCCAGAAGCACCCGGCCACAACTGCTGCCAGCATCCCCACGAATCCCCCTACAGGTATCTGGGTGACCCCTGCCCTTGGCACCCGTTTGCTGCTGGGGTCATGGCGAGGGGCCATTCCCCACCCCAAGGATCGCTGCTTTGCAGAGGCACAACCATGAGCGGAGAGTGACACCGCATGGCCGCGGGCAGCAAGGCCCCGGGTGCCCTGGGGACACCGAGCTGCCGCTGTCCTTAGGCTGGAAGGACAGCAGGGACAATGCCACCGCCCCATTGCAAACCACCCCGTGCCCTCTGCTGCATGGGGCCGGCAGCATTTCCCCTGCAGCTCCGTGCCGCTCTGCCCTGACCCCGTTGTTTCCCTGGCCGTGGTTTTGATCCACTTCAGAGTGTGACCCCCTGGGGAAGGACATCTCACCTCATGTTTCCCTACAAAGCGCCGGGCGGATGTACCCGCTCTGCAGACACAGCCGGGGCCCATGACTAATCCTGGTTACTTTTAATAAGCAGCTGGTAACTAAAATAAAGTCTCTTTAGCCAAGAACCTGCTGTTCTGAGCTGTCCCGAGCAGAAACACAGCCCAGCAAATGGAAAAGGACCTTTCCCCCTTCTGACTGCCACAAGGAAAGGACAGCACAGTATGGTGCACCGATGCCTCAGGTGTCCCTTCCAGTCCAGGGTGACTAAAGGAGGGTTACCCCATCCCCCTTTTATAGGTCCATGACCAAGTTCTCCCTGGGGTGGGAAATGTCACTTTCTGAACTCCAGCTCTGAGCACAGGCTGTGACTGCTTTCCTGAACCCATCAAGCCCAAATTGTGCACTTTTATCACATCCATGCACCCCGACTACTGGACACGCAGCGTGGTTATTGCTACAGCCATTCTGCTTCAGAGCAAACATCCCTTCCCCAAGCAACAGCTCCATCACTGCACCACTAACACAGACGAACCACTCTGTGGGAACAAGTGATGGGAGTGGGCAGCACCAAGAGGTGTGAGATGGCCCCAAATCTCTGCCCTCCATCCTGGCAGTGCCACACGTACCCACAGACAGCACGTGGGTGCTGCCTTTCTTCAGGGTCCTTCCCACACTGAGCTTTTCTGTCTATTCCCCATCTGATGCCCTCCACGCTGCTGAGCTCTGCAGTGTCCATGGGATAGGGCAGAGGTTCTGGAATCAGCCTGTCCTCATTTGGACGAGCATTTGGGTATCACTGTGCACAGCTGCTCCTCTCTGTACAGAGGTGATGAGCAGCACCAGTGCAACAGCTTTCTACAAAACACTGCCTGGTTCACCCCTCAGGATGGGACCTGAGTCCCTTCTCCATCCCCAACAAAGCCCACATCAGGGCCATGACCACGCATAACAGAGGTTGCCCTGCAGTTATCTCCCCTCAGTCCCCACACCACACAGCCCACATTCCCCTTCCCACAGCTGCAGCACGCAGAAGCTGCTCCCACCCCCGCTTCCCCCTCCCCCGAACGCTGCCTGCATTTACAGCGCAGCATCGGATCCCTCCTGCACTCCAAGCTCATTTTCAACTACTATTAAAACCGCTTTGCAGGCAATTAGGATTCCAGGTGCTACAGTGCCTGGATGCTAAAGATGCCATTCACACCCATGAGATGGAAACTGTCCCCAGTGCCCTCCGTCTCCTGGGGGAAAAAGCCAGGCTCTCCACACTAGCTCCAGCTGTGGCCATGCCAAGTGCAGCCCTGGGAGCTGCTGATGCCCAACCAGCAATGGGGCCATCACAGATGGGGGTCAGCACTTTACCCCCAGCCAGAAAAACCTCAGTAGGGTCAACACCACACCAAAAATCCCAAAGCTGTACCTATGAAGCATCTGCTGGGCTCCATGGGTGCATGGCGCTATCAGGACACAGCTCAGCTCCCAGGACCCGAGTGGCTGCCAGGGCCACCAGCCAAGACACGTCTTCCTCATCTATTTCTAATGACTCTCTCTCAACCCTGCAGCATTGCTGACCCATCTATCACTCCAAAAGACAGCGTCTTGGGAAAGAAGTTGTGCCTCGATGCAGCTCGCTCAGGAACACATCTTCAGCCACTGCCAGATTTGCCTAAATACCCTTTAAGTGCTTTCAATGACTCGTGGCCACGTCGAGGTGCCAGGCCACAGACAGTTTTTTCCTACTGCCCACATGTGCCATATCCAGAATGCATCACCAGCACATGGAGTTCCGCTTTTTCAGCTCCACATCCTCTGAGTGGGATGAAGCCATTACCTTGAAAGACAAGGCAAATTATGCTGGTGTGCAATCTGATTCATAAGCCAGGTGGGCCTCCAGGGCCTAATTTGGGATAGAAGACAGCCGATGACTTCTTTAACAAGCAAAAAGTCTTGAGAAACTTCAACACATCACTCCTTACCACCTAAGTGCAGTTTCCAAGGCTAAGAGCTTGGCTTCTGCAGGCCAGAGAGGCTGCAGGGTTAAGGAACAGGCTACCAGGTGAGCACACATGGCTATTAGCCATGGAGGAGATGGGTTACCATGAATTCTAAGGGCTGCAGGAGCCAGGCTGCCATCCCACAACCTGCTGGGATGTTTCAGGAGCGTCAGCACCAGAGGTGAGACTGCACCAGGCACTGCGCCAGCGTTATTAGCGTCTCACAGGCAACAAATCCACCCACAGCCTCGATGGAAGGAAAAACTGTTTGGAAACAAAGGTTCTGCTTGGCAAGGGGATGTGGGCACCCAGCACCCCACGACTCCCAGCTGAAGGCGACACGTTGGGAGGATGGCAGTGAATGAATGAGCTGAATGCCTGCAGCTGGGTGCAAGTACAATCACAGCTCTGTGCAATTCAGAGCAGGGGAGCAGCACCCAAAGGACCACGGGTCCACTTGCATATCTCTACATCCTATCCCCTGCCCATAATGCAAGAGGAGGTGAGGATGGCAGCAGTCTGCCTTGTGCAATGAGTTATTAGCCCAGCTTGAGGCAGGTCAAGCTATTAAATCTTCCCTGCCAGCTGCCCCAAAGCATGCAGGGAATGGGGATACAGCCATGAGTGCAGATGCTGGAACAGCTCATGGGGTGCTGCAAGGAGTTGAGCTCTGCAGGGAGCAGCAGCCTCTGCTGGCTATTGTGAGCTTTGGGACAGACTCTGCTCCTTCTGCCCTGCCTCCTTCCATAACAAACCTCACAACTCCTTCCAGCCAAGCCCACAAATGCATCCCCACGCACAGCAGAAACATAGAACAAGAGCAGAGATGCACAGCATCCAACCCTCTCCTCACCCTCTCCCCCCCCCAAAAAAAAAGCACTGTCTCCTTACTCCACATCGACAAAAACCACTAAAACTGCATTAAACTCTAGGAGTAACAGCAATTCATCACACCACCGCTTTCATTAATCCTTGGCAATTGTTCCTAT